AAGCGAAGATATAGTTGCTAAGCTGGTTTGGGGACAGAACTAAAGGAACAAACGAACCAAAGATTTGGAGATTTATAATATTTCGTTTTAGGATGAAAGCCATAATTTGAAAAAAGGCATCATATCAGCAAGTTAAGCGAGACCCTTATTAACCATTGCACGTGTTTGCAGCAGTTCGGCGAAATATGACAAAAAAGCATGGGTTAAAATGAAGTGTTTATTTGTTTCTGTTCATCGCTGGTTATTTTTTCGTATTGTGTACCACCTCTCTTTTTCTTTTATCTGAACTACGATCGCGAGACCGCCAAATGATGACAGAAGGAAATAAGAACTCACTAAAGCAGTATCACCAATCACCTACCACTGCCCATAATACGAACAGCTGCAAGTTTCAGAAGAAGTTGAGAAACTTCCCAGTCCCATTCAGTACGCTAACTAACGGTTTTAAAATGAAAACTGTACTTTAGGTATCAACGGAGAGAAAAAGCATTCCATCCAAATGGGACTCTCCTTCCACAAACTGTCATTTGCTTTTTGACCGGAGTCACGAAGTGGACCTCCTTTTGTCCTGGAGAAAGCATAGCAAAAAACGTTTGCTTTGTCTTCAGGCGAGGTTTTCAACGTTATCAGTGAGCCGCAATTGGTTGTATCATCATCCATTTGCTATTTTAGAATTAACTGAAAGTCAGTTTAAGAGAGTGGAAACGAACGAGTTGCTACTATCACTAAATAGAGTTGATACAAGAACTGCATACTTATATGTTTATACTCTGGAGATTCCATAGGTGTCTGTGCTGTGGTCCGCAAGTCGAGTTTCCCAAAATATTTCAAAGACTTTATTCTTCGCTAGCACCTATACTCTCTTGTTCCCAACTAGAGTTGATGCCTAAGCCAACTTTTTTGAATTCTTACACGAAAACGCTTATTGCTTTGACCCGCGAATCTTTTCTACCTCCACCCGTTTCCTGCAGGTGTATGTTTTTATGATTCAATTGATTACATTTTAATAAATTACCTTAACCTGTTTAATGCTGAAAATTGAGACCGATCGTCTGGCCCAAATCCCTCTATCCTACTAGACCTTTCAAAATATACTTAAATACACGTACATACCTGACCCAACTTGAGCCGAAAAAAGTGCCTTACAGCGCGTCCCTTCCAAATATTATTTTGTTTCAGAATTCCATAGCTGCCTTTCAACTTACAAATGCCATTTGCCTTCTGAATCTCTTAGACTATGTGTAAAAGTAACTTTTATTTCCACATACACCGAAAAGACAACACTAATTGAAACCTCTTTGACTGAATGCAGTAACCCCTCGCTATATCGTGCTTCGACTTCCGCAGATTTTATAATATAGCGCATTATTGTAAATTAAAGTACGTATGAAATCATTTTTGTTAAAATGTATGATAAGGAGGATTTATGTGGACGCATAAACAGGACACGGGAATAGTAACGCCCCGCCCATTTCAAATAGGTGGTCTTGCGATACATTTCGGGGCGTTCGTAGCTTAGCGGTTAGAGCATTGGCCTCCGGCAAAGGCCTTCTCTGATGCGCGGATTCAAATCCCGCCAAACGCCTCGATTTTTTTCACAATTGGGTCAACTCAAATTGCCCCGAGCTTTTTCACAATTGGGTCACATCAAATTAAGCAAATCTGCCAAACCTCCTAATCATTTCGGGAGAGTTAAATATTCTCGTGCCCTGGCCCTAATACTACCCTCAACATAAAACCAAACTGTCACCTTAATCTTAACCCTAGTCCTACCCTAAACCGCCACCCTACAATTAACACGAACGTAGACCTAACATAGTCCCGACCCAAGCACCAACTCTGACCTTAACGCCCACTTTGAAATTAATCCCAAGCCTCACCTTAATCCTAAACCCAATTGCTCCGGAATTTGACGTAAGGCCATGTGCGCGGTGGGCGGTTCCTATTTCCGTGTTCTGTTTGGGTGGACAAAGAAGTCATCCTTACCGAATATGTATTACAATAATCTGCTGAAAACTATATTACGTAATCAATAACACTCCGCGCTGACATACGGTACGTATAGTTGTTCGTAATATATGACAGTCCGACCGTCGTACTCGATGAGACCCACCATGTGCACCACTGAGGCAGGGATGACTACTGGTGCGTGGGTTAACTTACAGTGAGAGTAGACCTGTGCTGCATCTACCACACTCTCCCCTTCCGCCACTTGAACCCCGGTGTCCTGACCGGAAAAGGTGGCTAGAGCATCTGGAGCCGCGTCTAGGCTGGCCGCCATACCCGGCTCGGAATGCAGTTGCGTAGGAGTGCCATAAACGCCACATTACTTTGTACTTGTACTTGTTACGGCTGCGATCATGCCTGATCTAACCGGCCTCAATGATGTTACGAACAGTACCTCTACATGCGTGGCGATTGACGGCAGCGGATCAGGAAAGCTCTACCCAGTCCCTTCTCCAGCGACGGAGACCGAAGATAGAAGGTC